GCCAGAGCCCTGGCACAGGCTGCCCAGAGAGGCTGTGGAGGCTCTTTCTGTGGAGATCTTCAAATCCACCTGGATGCCATGTGTGATATTTTTGTGGATAGTCGTAGCTTCTTATGTTTCATAGAAGAAAGCAATCTAAGGATATTCAGTATTATTATAGGATATTCAGTATTGTTTCACACAGGATATTCAGTATTATTTCACACAGTAAATTTTTACTGTGCAGGTTGCTGGCATTCAAAAAACAAAAAGTCCTCTAGTTCAAAATGATGAATTTTGAGGTTTTTTTTTTTTTTTTTTTTTTTTTTTTTTAAAAGTGAATTAGCCTGTTTATCAACTAAAATAATTAACGTAGTAATGCCTTTCGTTGGAACACAGACTGTTTTCCATTTTCCACTGAGTGGCTTAAATATATTTTTCTCCCCTCTTCTTTATTTGTCCAACTGAATGCATACCTGACTGTTACTGTAATGGTGGTTAGTCCTCCAATGTGACTAACTAACTGGTCAATTTTGTTTCTAGTGTTTATGGGGAAAGATAAAGCCCATGAGGTACTGAAAGTCCACAAACGTGCCAACTATTTTCTGGAAGAGATTCGCACAGGGAACCTGGAGAGAGAGTGCATTGAGGAGCAATGTTCTTTTGAGGAGGCCAAGGAGATTTTCCAGTCGCAGGAGAAAACGGTGAGAAACTTTTTATTTTAAGGAAAAAAAAAGAGTTTAAACAGTCTCTAAGATCCAAGGCATTGCTCTCAACCAGGAGTTCCACAGACTGATAAGGCATACACTCTACCTTAAAAAGTGATTTATCCATAGCAAAAATATTCTGCTCTTTTTAGTCGTGTTTTTACTTTACTTAGTTTGGTTTTGGTGGAATATGAGTATATCAGCTATCAATCAGAAGTCCTGGTCAACAGGGGGAGGTCCCAGATGGCTGGAGACTGGCCAGTGTGATGCCCATCTACAGGAAGGGTCAGATGGAGGATCTGGGGAACAGCAGGCCTGTCAACCTGGCCTCGATATCAGGGAACGTCATGGAGCAGATCATCTTGAGGGCAATCATGCAGCCTGTGTGCAACAGCCAGGGGATCAGGTCCAGCCAATGGGGGTCCAGGAAAGGCAGGCCCTGCCTCACCAACCCGATCTCCTTCTATGACCAGGTGATCTGCCTCAAGGTGAGGGAAAGACTGTGCCCCTCAAATACTGTGCTCAGTTTTGGGCCCTTCACTTCAAGAAGGACATTGAGATGCTGGAGTGTGTCCAGAGAAGTGCAACGAGGCTGATGAAGGGGCTAGGGCAGAGACCTTCTGAGGCAGCTGGGTTACTTACTTCATCTAGAGGAGCCCTTATCACTCTCTACAAGTACCTGAAAGGAGGCTGTAGGGAGGGGGGGGGGGTTGATCTCTTTTCCAGAATAACTACGGATAGGACAAGAGGAAACGGCCTCCAGTTGCTCCAGGGGAGGTTCAGGTTAAACATTAGGAAGAATTTCTGCAGGGAAGGAGTGGTCAAGCCTTGGAACAGGCTGCCCAGGGGAGCGGTGGAGTCACCGTCCCTGGCGGTGTTCAAGTCACGGTGTACATGAGGGACGCACCTAGGGACATGGTTTAGCAGGCAGGTGTTGAGGGACTTATGGTTGGACTTGATGATCTTGAAGGTCTTTTCCAAGCATAATAATTCCATAATTCTATCAATCAAGACAGATATCCCTGATGAACTTGCCGTGCGGATGTGTTCTTTTCAATATAATAATACTGCCTTATGCTGGGATTGCATGATCATGCATATGACAGTTCTGAAAAGTTTTTGCTTAGGCAGAAATATTAGTCAAACAAAAGGTCTTAGGTCTTTCAAGGTTAGGAAGAGCAGAACAGGGGTTTGGGGAGGGCTGCAATTTTAAATCTAGGTGTCTAATTTCTGTTTTACTCTCCCCAAGTCACTGCAGGTAGCGCAGGAACAGAGAGGGCTCTTCAGAGCAGAGTGCTCAGCGTTGAGGTGCCTCACGCTTGTGCTGTGCACCCCTTACTGCCTGGAGCATTTGGGAAATCTAGTCATTCCATTTATTTATATTCCAATACACACCAGTTTACACAGTCTGTGTCTGGGCCATGGTGCCCACCAAAATGTGCTGTGTGGTGATGAACAGGAGATTTGCTTCATGGGGCTAACCAAAATTAAATTTATCTGCACCCTAGTAAATTCATTTCTTTTAAAACGTTCAGTAACCAGTACATGCTTACTGACTGTGTTCATTTGTGATTTCTTCTTGCAGCTGGAGTTCTGGTTCCATTACAAAGGTAGGTGAAAGCCTAAAGCTAGGCTTCTCCCAAGTCTTCAGAATGGAATTATCCTATCCTTCCTATTAGGTTTAAATCCATGCAATACAAATCCCTGCAAGAATGGTGGAGTCTGCAAAATAAGGCACTACACCTACTTCTGCATCTGCCCACCCAACTTTGGCGGTGATACCTGTGAAAGAGGTGAGTACAGGAATGGAAATCATGGTGGTTTTCTAGAATGCTAAGTGATTAATTCTCTTCCCATGTGACATTACTGCAGGCTTTTTTTCCCTTACACTGTGTCATAATTGCTTTCCTACAATGACAATTGTAGATGCTGGTAGTGCTAGGGTGTCCGTTCCTGGCAATCACCAAGGGCCTGTATCTGTTTCCGTTGCAGAAAAGCAGCAGTGCTGGTATAAGAACGGCGGCTGCTGGCACTACTGCCAAGACACCGAAAGCGCCTTGGAGGTGGCGTGTTCCTGCGCGCAGGATTACGCCCTGCACGAGGATGGGAAGAGGTGTGTGCAGGCAGGTGAGGCGCGGCGGCTTCTTGTGGGGCTCGCGCACATGGGGAGAAGCAGCTTAAGTTTTACACACCTGAGCGGCTGCCGGGCACAGGAGCGGCAGTGCCCACTCTGGGGGCACAGGTGGCTACACAGACTTAGATCAACTTATAATTGAGTCACACTTCAGCTCTAAGAGCAGAGGGGCCTGACCTCATCCCACGTCGCTTGGACCCTTGCGTTACCGCACCCTGTCGGCACGGGCGAGCGCGCTGGGGGGGCTCTGCCAGCGGCCGAGGGTGCCGCGCGCGAGACATCACTAGGGCAGTGTCTTTGCTGGGCTCTGCGGTACCACATTTGAAGCTCATTGCTGACAGGGAAAGGGGGGAAAAAAAAAATTCTAAAGCCAGCAATGCACTGTACAGTGCACCCTAGGCTCAACGCTCCTCCTCTATTCCCTCTCCCCCAGCATCTTTTCCATGTGGCCTCATTAAAGGCAGACGGGCTTTGGAGCAAGAGCCTCTGGGGCGGAAAATGGTTCCGAGAAGCCTGCAGGAGCAGGAGAACAACAACGTCACTGCGGGGAGCAGGAGCGTGGAGGGCAGCATTGGTGCCCTCGGCAGGATGGAGGCCTTAGAGAACACTGTTGAGCAAAGCAAGCGCACGGAGGGCGCCGCAGGGCCCAACGAGGTGGGAGAAGCTGCTTCCAGCTGCAACGGGACGAGGGTGGACGCTGCTGAACAGACCACTCTGGAGGACAGTGCTGCCTGGCAGGAGCCGGGTGCCAACGTGACTGGGAGAGGCTTGAGCAGGTGGTGGGGGCAGCCGGTGGGCGCTGCCAGGCAGAGCGCAACAACTGGAGCTGCCGCAGGGCGCCGTGAGCTGGTGGGAGCTGCGGCCAGGCACACCGGCGGCACCGGGCAGCACGAACGCGGCAGGGAGGCCAAGCCGCCCAGGGCGCCACCTGCACAGCTGCCCGGCCCCAGCGCGGGGCACGGGGACACCCGCGTCGCCGGAGGGATGTTTTGTCCGCGGGGGCAGTGCCCCTGGCAGGTACTGTGCCCCGGCCCTGCCGCCCCTTCCCAGCTCTGCTCCTGCTCCCTGCTGCATTCTGGTATGAGGGGGCAGAGTTAGGGCTGCAGCTAGACCAGGAAAAGGGTGTATTGGGTTTTGGTTTTTTTCCAGAAATCGTTTTACACAGGATTAAGGCCATCTGGCCTATGTAAAACATGCTATTTCTCTAGTCCCTGCACCAGGGTAAGACTCAGAAGTGCTAAGGATGCTTTCTCATGGGATTTTTTTTCTCCATTTTTTTTTCTTCTTTTAACCTCAGTAATGGCAGAGCTGTGCAGCTCTTTAACTTTTAGGGAGTATTTCTCGCATTAATGAGCATTTTTTTCCCCTCTCATCCCTCAAATTGGAAAGATCATTTAAGATCATAGATTTAAAGATTATGGATTTTTTTTTCTAGGGAAACAAGTATGTGCAGTGCTTTAGTTCTGTTCCTGTTTGACTTTGCCAAGCTCTGAGTCCGCTCCACTGTCACCCTTTTCTCATCACCTCACAGGATGACCTTCTTACGCACCATCATCTTTGGTTGTTGCAATGCAGTGATTGTGTCTAAAATTCAGGTTATTTGCAAGATACCTGCACCAGACCACAGATAAGCGGACGGCAAACATACCTGCTCGTAACACCCCCCTCTCCCTGTTCTTTCATACAGGTTTTGATCCGCAATAGCAGAGATGAGGGTTTCTGTGGAGGGAGTTTAATCAGTAGTCGCTGGGTCGTCACTGCTGCTCATTGCCTTGATCTTGTCAGACCGCACCACGTCACTGTAGGTGAGGACAGCTCTTACACTGTTTCTTTTTTAATAACAATTTCTTATTTAAAATACTCTCCCTTGTCCATTTACACAGTAATGCTAAGAAATAAGCGGACACATCCACCTAGATTCCGATTATAAAACACTCTTCTTCTATTTCTTGAGCAACACCTAGTGTAAAAGGGCTCTGGCTGCTGCTGTCTTTCCCCGAGGTGCAGGGCAGGGGTTCCTCTCCGGTCTCCCCTCTCTACTTGCTCACGGGACAGGGCTGGCCATCCACCCTGAAGCTTGTTCTGCTTTTTCATCACCTTTAATTCCAGGCTGCTGCAGTCAGAGGCTGCAGCTGCTGTGGAGCAGAAAGCCCCTTGCCAGGCAGCGTGGGGGCTCCTGGGGGAGGAAGCCCTTGAAACGCGAATGGGGCAACGGATATGGCTGCATGCTTGAATGCTTGAAACATGGGGCAAGGGAAAGCAGGGAAGAGGAGGAAATGGACTGTAACACGGAGGACTTGAAACTAGTCTTCAGCCTTGACAAGGGCTGCATATTACTGCTACTTCCAGGTTCCTGGGAAGGGGGAACCTGGCCCCATGCATTCTTAGACAAGCTGTTCAGAATGCAGCGCTTCCCTGCGACAGCACACAGGACAGCGCACATCTCTGCACCCAGGAACGCACAATCGGCGTGGGGGGCGATTCGTCCACTCAGCAACTTTCTTTTATTGGTCCCTTAGAAAGAAAAGGGATGAGCCTGATGGGCAGGATTAGAGCTGCAGCCTTAGACAGCATTTTTACAGCTTGAGATTTATTTTCATCTGTGCCTTGAGGTCCAGCTAGAATCATAGAATCATAGAATGCTTAGGATTGGAAGGGACCTCTAGAGATCATCTAGTCCAACCCCCCTGCATACGCAGGGACACCTAGAGCACGTGGCACAGGACTGCGTCCAAGCGGGTTTTGAAGATCTCCAGGGAAGGAGACTCCACAACCTCTCTGGGCAGCCTGTTCCAGTGCTCTGTCACCCTCACTGTCAAGAAATTTTTCCTTAAGTTCCTATGGAATTTTTGGTGTTTCAGTTTCCGGCCATTTCCTCTAGTCCTATCAGTGGCCACCACTGAAAAGAGACCATCCCCGTCCTCTGCACTCCCTCCCTTGAGGTACTTATAGACACTGATTAGATCCCCTCTCAGCCTTCTCTTCTCCAGGCTGAACAGGCCCAGCCCCCTCAGCCTCTCCTCATACGGCAGATGTTCCAGGCTCCTGGTCATCCTTGTGGCCCTGTGCTGGACTCTCTCCAG